AGAAAAGTACAAAAGCTCCGTAGGAAACAATGCTTGAAATAGTTGTAAAGTATGAACACCCAGTGCGTATTTTGGGACTGCATGCCATCTAATTAGCCATCGACATGATACCCGAAGATTACCGATCGGAATGTGACCCCGATATGAATATAAATCTGAAAATAGAATTGGTGGAAGCACGTGCGACAGTATTATGACGATTTGTCTACACACCGGGTATCCCGATCCGAAACCCGAGGAGCAATTAACGGAACAAATATGAAATAATGGCACGAAATACAATTATATTGTATTAATGTTTACGCAATAATAAGTCCACCGCTTTACAAAAACGGGCAGTATATAGTAATTGGGAGTCACCTGATATACATTAATTTGAACCGTATCTCTTTAAATCAACTTCATAAGTGCACTCTTTAGTACAATTTCACCGTGGGATCTTTACTGTGTCTTATGCCCTTAAAACTAATTTAGGAAAAGGGGAGGGGGCTATTTCTATTCTTTTATACCAAAAAAAAACATTTTTTGTAAACCTTTGTGGATGTTTGTGTGTCTGTAAATTTGCTATATATTTTTTTTAATTTGAAAAGACAGAGGAAGCAAGTTACACAATATAATTAATAAACCCGCCGCTGTATGACTCCAGATAAAAAAGAATATCGCTTTATTAATTAAATGTCCCAACCTAGCCACTGCAACGAGAAATCCGAAAATCTTGTTTGCATGTCTCATTTATTTAATGATATTTGTCCATTCCATCATACGCCGTACATTTACAGCATGTTCAACCTGAATAAAAACAAATGTACAATAATTAATATGTACACATTAGTACAAAATGCGATCCAGTTACAGCAAAATCTAGAGGAGGAGGAATCAATAGAGCAGGAGATTGAATAACCTCAAGCTGCCAAGAGGTCATTGTTTTTACAGATATTTCTTAAAAACCCCATTTATGTAGAAAAACATCATAGGAGTTAGTCTTTTTTTTAACCGACGGTTTATATTTACACTGTGAAACGACCCAAGATTTAAATGCTACCTGCTAGCTGTAAGTGTCATTGAATTCCTAATCGTTGGTGTATGACAGTTTCCGCAAATGTCTAATAGTCAATGATTATTCAGTACGACCTATACCTTGACTGGTAGTTTTAAGTCCATTATAATGATGTCCAAATCATTATTGGTGAATGTTAAGAGAGAAAATTACCAAGCATTCTGTAATTTAGAAGAGGATGCCAAACAATAGTTCACAAACATTACACAGAATACAAATTTTGACTGAAAGCACCGCATTATATAACATGTTACGAATCATGTAATTAGCTCGATAGGGTGGTTACATAAGTTACGATAGGCTCGAAATGTAAGTTGCCGGCACAACGCAAATATAGTGATTACAAAAACTGTAGTTATTAAAAGATAGGATAGCAATGATAGTGTGTGCTGCAACATGCAATGTGAAGTAGACAACACAGACAAACTGATATATATTTGATTAATTTAACAATATGAATTCTCTGGACAAGTTAAAGATATGAATTTGTTTATTTAGACATTCAACCGGTACCTTTATCATAACTCATGATACCCAAAATGGTGGAAGCAGACTTAAGTTGTCAGAGGTGACATCAGCTATGACGTCACCCTCACCTTACGACTGGTCGCCAGCATCAAATAATAACAACTATCGATATGCTATTAGAGCGACAACTACACCAAGTAAGACATAATCAATCATAAAATGTCAATGTATAACATTTCCGGGGGGAAGGGGGGGTATGTTTTTTGGTATCAGTTTGATGGTAGAAATAATGTCAGGAATTACAAAATAACTTACTTATAGTAAAATTAATGAACATTTCCACGTTGTATCAAATACCATTGAAAATACAGTGATTACCTTATCAGCCGTCAATTAATATCTGATAACATAAAATTAAAATTGAGAATGGAAATGGGGAATGTGTCAAAGAGACAACAAACACATACATGTAGTGGTCGCTTCACGGTAAGATTAAATACGTTTTTATTGTTGGTAATTGTTTGACATATTATCACGTGAAAATCGTTCATTCAAATTATTGGAGAAGAAACCAAGGGGGAAATCAATGATCAAAAGTCCATCAAAAACAGACAGTTCGGTATCCAAATCAAAAGTCTAATAAAAACAGACAGTACGGTATCCAAAACAAAAGTCTAATGAAAACAGACAGTACGGTATTTAAATTTAAAAAAGTCCAATAAAAATAGACAGTACGGTATCCAAAACAAAATTCCTATAAAATCAGACAGCACGATATCAAAAAAGAAAATAACAAATAAACAAACAACTGCCCAAAAATCATCGCACAGAAAACAAGATTTAGCAATAGGAACCCAACCAGAAACCAGCGTGGTCTAAGGTGGTTCAGAGTGGATATCAGTTTCTACTCAACTAGTGACATCCTCCAATTACGAATAATAACAATAGTTCAATCTGACATTCAAAACGAATATACAAGAGTACAGTCAAGTTCCGAATATCTTTCATATGAACACTTTTCAATGGTATTTTCAAAAACAAAGTAATGACAATGCTAATAGTTTGTTTTTTTTTCAAAATAAAATAATGATTTTATTATACTTCATCCCAATCTGATGAATTGTGTTGCATCAATCTGAACTGTTTTGCCTGCACATTTAATGCGTGATGTTTATATTTCATTCCAGGCGAAATACCTACATTTTCCGCCTTACCTGACCTTACAAGGTATAATGATGAGGTATTAGTAGGCGATATTGTATCCACAGTTACAGCAACCGACGATGACCTTGAAGATGCCAATAAGTTACAGATTACATTAGACAGCGATACAACTTATTTCGAATACTTGAATTCAACAAGTAAGTTTAAAATAATATATATTTTTAAATAGTCTTATATTAAATGTAAAACAATCGAGACATTTAGGCTAAACGGATAAATAATGAGATACTATATCATTTCTTCTCTAAACAGGTTATATAGACGTGATGCCCTTTATGTCTATTTGTCCATCTTTTGCGCACTGGTTCGTTTGTTCGTTCGTCCTCGCTCTTTATCCTCCTATGCCAGACTGGATTACGATGAAAATTTCAAAGTATCTTATTGTGTTGTGCACTACTTTTTGTAATTTTTATCCAATTGATTATTTAGGTTTCCCCGTTACAAAACATTGATAATTTTTTTTTTTGGGGGGGGGGGGGGGGGGGGGGGGGGGCTTAACACAATGACCTTATTTGAATGGTATAATGCTATTTAGTATTGTGCATCTTTCTATCTTAGAAAATGATACATGTAATATTTGTAAAATTACTGTATTCAGAAAAAATGAAAAGAAGAGGGCTTCAAAAGGGATAATATTTGACAATCGAAAATACAAATACTCTCAATCCAATTCTAAATAATAATCTAATAACAAATGAATACAATTGATGGTATAATTAGAAATTGTAATCGTGTTGAAATGGATAGTTCATATGTTTTATATTTTTATAAAAGTGAAATTGATATATTTGATGACCCCATACACCTTATCGCTATTTATTTCATTCCGGGTAAGTTCTAAAATTACACAACTTTTTCATCCAGTTGCAAGCTATCTGGGGCCCTGTGGAAACAATGTATCATGCATAATACTTTTTTTATGAGACCTGTTTAAACCATCGTAAACACTTCAAACAAAATATTTTTTTTTACTTTAATTTGAGTTTCGAAAAAGTGGATCATAATCTATCAAAGTTTCAAAGTGTTGGCTTTCTGAATTTTTTCCTCCCTCAGCTCGTTACTGATGACCTTTGTTTTTGCACCGGATGACCCAAACAGGAAGTTGTCTAAGTGACTGTTTTTTTCCGGATTGGACCAAATGGCGATAAGGTGTATTGTGTCCAATGTTCTTAGTCGAATATTTATTTTAATGTGGTGCTTAAGAAAGTGTTCCATTTGTCTGTGTGCAAGTTCTAACTCCTGAGTCACTATTCACAACAGTCCAAAGGTATACAAAGAACTTCATCCAGACACAATATTTTGACTCCAAACAGATCCGTCTTGGCTCTTACACGTATAAGCCGCCTACCTTATCGAAAGCAGCAATAACAAATTTCATTACAAAATAAGGAGATGGGGTATAAATGCCAATGAGACAACTATCCACCAAAGTTCAAATGAAGTGGATGTTAGCAATGTATGGTTTCAAATAATCGGAGATTGTACCAATGACCCCCGCACTCAAACAAACATATTTCAGGCGACTATAGAAGTGGTGGAAGTAATGAATGTTTTATTATCAACGTATAGAAGAACAAAAACTAACACCGGCAGTATGAAATACATTGTACTTTAGAAGTGAATTAGGATGCAATTTCGACGTTAAAGGGAATGAGAGTTGTCTTTCTTCCGAAGGTCGTACAGAAACTGTGGCAGTACAGTCTTGAATCACACGTCTAATGTGTACGGGGCCTCGATGGCCGAGTAATCTATAGGTGGTTCCCCTACAGTGATCGTTATCCTGTCAACTCTTTAAGTTGTGAGTTCGAACCTCGCTTGTGGCACCATCAATAAAAACTGGCCGCCATTGATGATATAGAAATGGGCACTGAAAGTTAAACTACAACAAACAAACACTTTATGTAAATAACGTAAAACAATTATGTGAGATAACCAGAATGTCTCTATCAATTAGAGGTTAGCAAATGTTTACGTTAAATATTGGAGAATTAATGAATATTAAAATGATAAAACAATAAAGATGAATTTGTACTATTGCATTATATTATTTTCAACATAATTTAAAGATTCGGTAATTTAAGTATCACAAAGAGATATGTTTAGGGAAAGTGTTTTTTACCCGGGAAAAAATATGTAACAATAATATGGACTGATTTATGTTAACTTAACTTACTAGATTCAATACTGCACATAATTGCATTTTTTATATAAACAGATGAAATAAGAGTTATTAGTATACCTCCTGTTGGAGTGTATAACCCAGGCTTGACAGTAACAGATCGATGTGACAGGTCTTCCAGTAGTACACAGAAGATAACGATACTCAATAGGGTAAATTTATAACATATTTGAGTGGTTTATTTTTCTGATTTTTTTCCCCCCAGGTTTGAATTGTTTTCTATAGCCCGTATCAAATGCATTGCTGGTCCGATACTCCCGTGGAATATAACTTCTGCAAAAGCTGTGTGGAGCCTGCGAACATTTTTATGAAGACCATTTTAACACGCCGGTTTATTTGAACGCTAAAGAAAAATTCCTTTAGACAAAAGGATGACATGTTCTTGATGTATCATTTCTCAGAAAAGAGATTATATGCTATTAAAAAAAAATGTACCCGTAGATTTTTGTAGAACAGATCTGAGACATTTTCTCGCACTATAAATGTATATGAATGGCTATGTCATGTAGGATATTTGTCCTTAGTATTCCACAAACTATACGATGCAAAGTTTGCTGATCATGTAGATGAACATGACATTAAAGCACTCTAAACGATTTTTTGGTTAGTTTTTGCAAAGGGCGAAGAAATAATATTTATTTAACTAGATGCAAAAATAAAAAGAAAGTTTTTCGCTACAAAAGAGGTACACTTATGGAAAATACAATTTAAGTAAACCCTTGTAGATGCACTGATATTTTAATTATATGAAAAATTAGGAGATGTGTTATGATTGCAAATGAGACAACTATAAAACATAGTCAAAATGATATAAAAAAAAACTAACTAATCATTAATTTGTGTAAAGGATGACAGTATTCAATTAATTTTTAGAAATAATCAAATTCAAATGACCTAAACATATTTAAGCTTTTGCAAAATAAGAAAGAACAATTCTGCGTAAATGAAGAATAGCGTATTTCATCACATCAGTCTATATTTTCTTGTATTATCTGGAAACCACTTTTGAACATCTAAATTTGTGAATAATTAGTACGACATTTTTTTATTTATTGAAAGATAATAAATGAAAAACATAATCCAGAGTCTACCAAGTTTCTACTTACAAAGCAAATTTCCTGACACTTCAAATTGTTGTAAATAGTTGAGCTTGAAAATTTAATAAATAATTATGCAGCATTGTCAAAAAAAATAAATAATCGTTCATCAAATGGTCGTCCCATAATCTAAAAATACACTACCATATGTACTTCCCTCCTTCTTTATCAAGTAACTTTTATTTGCACGGGGAAAATGAAATTGAACCTAAAAATAAAGAGACAGGTTTAGGACACCCCAGTCAATAAGTACCTGAAAAGAGACTGGTGCATTTGATATCTGACCTGATATGATATCCAGCGTTTGTGTTGTTATCCGTCCCATTCTAACTTCAAAAACCGACAGAACAGTTTAATTTAAAGAACAATTATTTCATAGTATTTTGCACAGGCACAATATACCCTTTTTTTTTAGGATACATTACCTTGGAAAGAGAATCAGCTCTTATAGTTACTGCTTTTGTTTTCTTCCTCGAGAACAGTGAGTTTTGACAGTATCTAAAGTCTCTCTCAATAGTGCATTATATGCGTTAGAATTTTTATTTTGATTTTCAGCTTCCTGTAATTAACAACCTTCCAAGTACTGTGTCAATATTAGAGGATACACCAGATAATACTCTTATATTTACAATAAATGCAACAGACACCGTTACTGACCCGTTAACATGCGACAAGGCAGGAGGAGGCGGTATTCCATTTTCTGTTTCTGTCATACCATCAACAACAGGTAAAACTTAAAAAATGAATAAAATAAAATTTCGGGGAACCTTCAATCAGACATTTTAACACAAACAAGCCAAAAACAATCTAGGCGTTTATTTTTTTTTTCGTTTGTTCATAATTTGGTTGACTGGTATGAAAAATCTTTGTCACAGATGACATTGGATATGTCTCAATTGTCGTAGACACAATCCCCTCCTCTTTCCCTCTGTTATGACATCACTGAAACGAATACGAACTTATCACCTAATATTAACTAACCATTAACAACACTATGGTTACCAATTGTGAAGTAGGAACTGCTTACCAATTCGGAGTACCTGAAATTTTACCCTGTTTTTGGTGGCTTACGTTTTTCTCAGTCAATAGTTTTCTGTGTCTTTTTTCGTCGTTTTTCCTTTTAGCCATGATGTTATCTGTTTTTCTTCGTCTTGTGATTTTTATTGTCCCCTAGGAATCTTCTTCCTCTGTTTACAAGACTTTTCAAGTGCATTATTGTAAAATGGGCTCGATTTATAAAGGGAGGAGTGGGTATATGTCATTAAAACAACAATACGCCGAAACAAAAAATCAGACAAAATCTATACGAGAATCCTCGCTAATGAACAAATTTGCTCTTTGCATTACACACAATCTATACGAGGTTCCTTGCGAATGAACACGTTTTCTACGGGCTTCACGCAAAACTCTGTAAGAGTATCCTCGCGAATGAACAAGTTTGGTCTGGGCATTTCACAAATTCTATACGAGTATCCTCTCGAATGAACAAGTTTGATCTGGGCATTACACAACATCGACTATCATTTAGTCATGTGCTATTTATAACATTGCTGTATGACATATACTCAGAATTACAGCCATCAATATTAAAACGTTGGACGACAATAAATCATATCAACAGGTTAAGCTCTTTGGGCTTGCTTTTAATGTTTTTGTCATTTTGAGAACAAGTTGTAAGTGTAGATCTTTGAAAGTCCATTGAATTTATTCACAACCTTATTAGACTCGATGCGATTCAGAGATTGACATATTGTTAATATCAGATTGTTAACGACACCTCTAGACATACTTTGCCAGAAGTGAGATATACAATGGACAAGCTTTAGTCATATAGAGAAAGATATCGGATACATTAAGAATTAGAGCACTTTAAGCCAAACCTTTCATAAATAGATAATTAAAGTAATATTAATGAGATTTTGAATCATCCGATTGACTTTAATGTATTCTCAAGATAAGCTGAAACCCTTGCAATGGCATGTCGAAAAAAACAGTTCATAGTCAAATTAACGACTAAAAAGTTTATTTTACAATGTATTGACAGCACTTTTAAAATACCTTTTTTTTGAAATATTTAAGCAGATTTGTCAGGATCAAATAAGATGCAAAACTCTTTTAAGATATTTTTTATTACGTATATTGCTATTAGTTTATAGAATTGACACTATTCGAAAAATCCATCGTATCTATTAAGATAAAATATATATTCAGAGTTTGGCTTGATTATTAGAAACATTAAAACATAAGTTACTCTTTGATTGTACGACAATATAAAGAAAATAGATTTAGACTTGGGCTTTGATTATTAGAAAGACATAACTGACTTCAAGCAACCCTTCCTTTAGGGAAATATCTTGTACAAATCCTTCAACAATTTTTCTTCTTCAGATAATGGCGTGTTCATGAACCCTGGTGTGACATTGAATTATGATAATAACCCTTCTTACACACTAACTGTAAGATGTGATGATGACGATGACACTGTAGATGGCGTATTGACAATCAATATTATACCCAATCAGGTAATTTGTATTAGTTACAACTTCTTTATTTCCTATCATGATTTCCTTGATAGAGGATTGCTGCTCACAAGGATGCTATTAAACCAAGAGTTCCAAATGGTGAAGTTGAAATCATCCCTTCGTAAATTTTAAGGACGCCATCACGAGTTGGTTGACCGTTATAGAATAACCGTTTCACAGATGATATCGTATATGTTCCTTATGTCGTAACTACAATACCCTTCCCTTTTCACGAATGTGACCTACCGAATTAGACTATTTACCGGATTTGTAATAACATAAGCAACACGACGGGTGCCACATGTGGAGCAGGATCTGCTTACCCTTCCGGAGCACCTGAGATCACCCCCCCCCAGTTTTTGTGGGGTTCGTGTTGCTTAGTCTTTAGTTTTCTATGTTGTGTCATCTGTACTATTATTTGTCTGTTTGTCTTTCTATTTTTGGCCATGGCGTTGTCAGTTTGTTTTCGATCTATGAGTTTGACTGTCCCTCTGGTATCTTTCGTCCCTCTTTTCTTTACATATCTACAAAAATGCGGTTTTAATCAGTTGAGTAGTTTTGCATTTTTTTTCTCCAAAAACAAAATAAGGAATCATATTTTAGAAGAGAATAATGGCAACTTTAAAAATTTATTTATCATGACCAAATATATCTGGCATGTCTTTTGGTGTGATTAAACTAAGCATTGTGATCTTTTTATTTTCTAGAAATGTCGCACTTATACATAACATCAACAAACTTAAATTAACAATGCAAAAAAGTTAACCGTTTACCGTTATTTCATTATCCACACTATAAGGACCCCATCGGAAATAAGCTTTTTTGCTTTCTTGGGTTAAGGCATTTAAATATACCTATAATCACAACCATTGATATATCTTAAAGGGGCACTAGCTGTCAAATTCATGTTCACCGATTTGACTCAAATTCTCATATTAGATTTATAACAATGTAAAACATTTATCCAAATTATAAAAAGTCTGAAATAAACAATTTACAAGGCATGGGCTCGATAATATTTAGCTTCGTTTCGTGTGTATTTTAGTCTAGACGGCATCTAATTAACTATCGAGATGACCCCGAAAACAACCATACGGTCACATAACACGATATAAACATAAACAAAAATATAAATAGATATATGAACCTCGTGCAAATGGATTTTTCTATGTCTGTTTGATTTCAATTTTAAGGTTTAAAAAATAAGTTAATTTTCGATTTTACCTGTATAAGAATGATTTTTTGTGGATCGAATCAGTCAATCAAATGATTTACCTTTGTTTCACTTTCAATGTTGACATTCTTTTCTTTTAATACCCTAACACGCATCAATCATGCATAATCCATCTCTAGCTAAGGGGTTAAATTGAAGTTCACATGAATACGGATTCAATGATGTCGAATTATTCACATCGATGTTTCTTAGCTTATTTTGACAAATTGAACCATACTGGCTGCTATTAGCGAATTATTATTTCACTATTTCACTTTCATTAATGATTGAACAAAAAAAAACATAATTTAAATTTTTAATGTATCTCGTAGCTAGTGCCCCTTTAAGGTTTTATTTAGCTATGTTTCTAAATCTTATAATGTATTTATATAGATTGCCTTTACCTGAACAAACATTATTTTGATTAGCATTTATTTCCCTTCTTTCCTTTTAAATGGTTATAGGCTCCTGTTATCAATAGCTTGCCGGATTCTGTAAGTTTCCTGGAAGACGTCAATACCAACACCTTACTACATACAATCAATGTAACGGACTTTGAAGGAGATTCAGTTTCATGTACTCTCAATCCTACCAGTGGTATATTTGATGTTTCACTCATACCTGCTTTGAACGTTGGTTTGTATTTATTCAATTATGATTTGATCTTAAGAATATGTTATTTTTATTTCATCAACCAGGCTTATAAATTTGTACGCTACATGTACGTTTTGTCTACTTAAGATTAATCAGTGGTGCTTGGTATTTCGAATGATTATTTAGTTTTATGAACAGTAAACTAAAATGATACATCAATAATATTGAATACATATGTTAATTGAAACATGAAATTTTAATAGACAGAATTCGCAATGATAACAGGCGAAATCGCAAGTATCACGAATTTAGAATATAAATAAAAAGGTGCATTAAAATCTTTAATACAAAATCTTCATCAAACTATTTATATGTCTTCATGCGTTTGCATCATTTCATTAATATTGTTAAGTTGCAGAGCAGTAACTGTAATATCTGTGATTATCAGTCCTTCACACTGCTTAAATTGTTCACAACGATCATTTGGCGGGGTTTTCACATATTAAAAACAATCTTATTCCCACGAGCAACGTTGCAATAAAATACTGAAAGAAATTTCGATAAAACTGAAACACATTCCTATTAAGCTACTGTCTTTCCTCCTGCAATTTTTCATAAGATATTAACACTGCAGGTTTTTGTACCACAAGGCATTGATATCCTATAGTACATGTAGATTCAGAACAACTTGTTGGAATGTATTTGTACTTCGTAATTCGTTTGGTCATCCAACTGTTTTGTTTTGAGCACAACTGATGATTTGTATATAGACGAAACGTGCGTTTGGTGAACTGAAATATAAACCTTGTGTCTGTAGACTTTGATATTTTTTTTTAAATCACTGGGTCACTGACACTGCTGGTGAACATTTTGTTCCAACGGTATTACCAGTGCCTAATAGGTAGCTTCTGTGATGGCATGACATATAATTGATGATGTCATTTTCGGTAAATTTACTGCTATTAATAACAAACAGCTTCTCAGATTTTTTTTAAATGCTCTTTAAACTTCGTTATTGATACTAACTTCCAACTGTTCTGAAAAGAACGCTTCCGATGGGTCTTTTGTAGACGGGATACGCTTAAGGCATTCTTTAATAATTACCTAAACTAAAATAAGTTTTCTTGAAATTTAGATAGGTTATATGCTTTCTTCGCTGTCGATTTATTAGAGAAAAAAATTGTGATAATTGATAATAATATTATTCAATGTTACCATAGATAACCTTCTTGTTATGACTAACTACATGCACGAAATTATATTTGATACAGAATATGGAATTTTCCTGACAGGAGGGACAACTCTTGACTACGATACAACGAACTCCTACTCATTGGCAGCAAAGTGTGAAGACCAAAGACGAAGTGATACTGAAACTTTTACCATTAATTTGATACGTAATACGGTAAATATTATTTTTTAACTCAGGTCATATGAGAAGGGATAAGTGCATTTTCTGCATGATTTCAAAATTTGTAAAGGTCATAACGACTTTCGTACGTATAGATGATATACGAAGACGAATTTGGTTATTGATGACCCTCCGACCATGCTAAAATGTTTAGCATTTATTTAATTTATTAATATAAGTTTTTAAAAAGTCTGTTTTTTTATTAACTTAAGAAAACCATGATTTCTTTGTAATATAGTTTTCCTGACATTGAATAAGATTTAACTAATTTTAAGTAGCAAAACACTTTTTGTAGCCGCCAGTAATAAACAGCTTGCCATATACAGAAAGTATATCAGAGGACCTGATGACCAATACATTGATACACACATTGAATGTTACAGATGTTGATACAGCAGATATCATCACTTGCACATTACATTCACAAAATGCGTTATTTGAATTAAGTAAAATATCTCCGGCATTAGGTTTGTATATTTAAAATGTTTTAAACGTTCATCAATACAAAACGTGCAAATTTGAATTATTATTTTGACATGAATTGACATGATCATTGCTGAGATAAAAATAAGAATTGAATGTTTATTCCAAAAACTATCTAGTACAAATAATTCAAACTATGCACGTACAAATTAGGTCCGAGATATACGTCTATAGTTTCATATACAAATGTCGAATATTTGAGAAAAACAAAGGATATGGGGTATCCATCCATTGTCTATATTAAATTGGCATTGAAAGACTGTTCATGTCAAGTTAGTAAAACGATAATCAGAAATTCTATATGCATTGATACCCCCAAATAAATTTCATCTTTCAAATAGATTAATGCGTAAAAAGCCGTTAGAAAAAATAGTTATGCCATCGTATTACTCTGAAGTTTATAGAAACAACGATAATGTTAAGGCATCCAGAAATATCTTCATACTGAGAAGGATATTCTGCTCTTTGAAGGGCCTTATATCCCTTTCGGTTTTTGTAAAAGTTGTTAAACGTTTAGTGTAGTGACAAAAAAACTCATCAAGGAAACCGGGTTTATAAGTTTGTAACCCATACCCGCGTTTCGTCTACAAAATACTTATCAGTGAGTCTCAAATCAAAAAAGATAAAGAGACAAAATAAAGTACGATATTGTAATTCATTGCGGACCCAAAATTCCGACGGGTTGTTGCCAAATACAGCTAAAAGGAGTGTTTCTGTTTATGTCATTATTGTGTTAGTCTTGAAATAGTTATTAAAGGTACCAGGATTATAATTTAATACGCCAGACGCGCGTTTCGTCTACATAAGACTCATCAGTGACGCTCAGATCAAAATAGTTATTTAGCCAAACAAGTACAAAGTTGAAGAGACTGTATACACAATTACATTAGATCGATATCAATTTGATGCACCAAATGTAGATTTCTAGCCATGATTGTTAGAAGAAAAATATTACGAACAAAACGTTCAAACATTAGTCTGTGGTGTTATGTCATTTCCCTCGTTAGTTTGCTATGTTTTTTAGTCTTTTACTTTATAAAAATTAATTCTTTGCAAGTCATCTTAAATCAAGTTATAACATGGTTTAATTTATAAACGATGAAAACAAAGAATAAAATATGAAGATTTTCTTATTTTGGAAGAGAATGGGTATCGTTTTCAGAAATGATTGAACATTGCACACATACTAACCAGAAAAAATAGCGCATTAACAAACTCAATAATATAACATGAATATATCAAACATCTATCAACCTATATCACAAAATAGTACTAAAAGGACAAGCAAAATTTACAACTGGAAGAGAAATGGACAAAACCAGGGCAAATACGAAAAACGACGAAAAGACAAACAAAAGTCTTCAGACAAATAAAGGCTGAAGAACACCAACACCAGTAAAAACCGACAAAAAGTCCAAAGTAAAATCCAAGAATATACGAAAAGGCTGACAATCATATACATTAAACAATTGAAATATTGATTGATTATAAAATATCTGTTTAATCATACTTCAACTAACTCCTAAACATATAACATTATATTTTATAGTGGAATACGGGGTCTTCTTGAAAGGTGGAACAGTTTTAAATTACGACATTACACCGTCCTATTCCCTTGACATAGAGTGTGGTGATCATAGGAGAAAAGTCACTGATGTCCTCACAGTTGATCTCATTCGTAATGAGGTATGCCAGTGAGCAATTTGACAATTCTTAGTCTACGTTTCACTGAACACCGTTTAATACAATGCATATTTTACAGTTTTATGTTTTATACAGATAAAGCGCAATGTTTTGGACATAATTGCAATTGCAATTAAAAATCCATTAAAGATTTTCCTGTGTGTTTGAAAATTACGGAATTCTTTTTAGTTTTATCATACATAAAAAGAGGCTGTCGTGGGAGAAACTTTTAGGAGACCGCTACAAAACATACAAATGAACCGTTATAGGAATTCTTTACCTAAAAGGGTTTGGTATGCTAAATTCTGATAATATTTGTTTCACGAATAGTTTTATCTAATATAAACTGGTGTATAATGCCTTTTTCCTTTCGGTTTGAATTTGATACTAAATACTTGACGTTTGGACTTAGTTCTTGCCATTGGTGGTTGAGTATACTTTAAATTTATTTTAACTATTCAATATGATATTAACTTACATTGTGGAAATGTACATGTCTATATTTAATATTTTTTTTTTGCTTTCGCTAAATAAAGATCATGATATACAGATTGCACTAAATATATGACGAAATTTGAGTCCCTGAATAATGACGACTGTCTATTTAACTAACCCTCTTATTTTAAGCCACCAACCATTGTTAACTTACCAATGAGCTGCGATATACCAGAGAGTATTGCAACAGAGAGTCTCTTGTATACAGTATCCGTTACCGATCCAACCAATGATTCAGTTACATGTACCCTAGTAGCAGCGAGCTCTATATATTTTTTACAGTCTGGATCAACTCAGTTTGGTGAGCTTGATATATTTCATATCAAATAATATATATATCTCTTACACTCATTTCGTAGAAACATGTTTTTACTAAAACTTTCATGTGAAATTTTAAAAGTAGTTAGGCAATTACATTTAAAAATACTACAATCATTTAATGCATTCTTTTGTATGGATATATACATGCTTGTAGCTATATCTTCATGAATTTTAACATTCGTCACATGGTGTTTAAGAAACGAAAGGGTAAGACTATTGATAAACAAAAGTTGATTTTTCTCCTCACAAGAAACAATACTTTGAATACACCACTGTATTAAAAATAATAATAGAATCTTGCAAAACAAAATTTATTCGAAATAAACTAAAACAGCAAAACCAGATAACGAAAGAGAGGTGTTTTGGGGTAGTAATTACTCGATTACTTATTTACGGTTGTGTGTTTGTCTGGTCTCTATTCAATGCAAGCAAAGCTGTTATGATGAGCCTCATATAAACTGGAAATGCTAAAAAGCCAGACAAAAATGGAAAAATAAAATTGAGAATGGAAACGGGGAATGTGTAAAAGAGACAACAACCCGACCAAAGAGCAGAAAACAGCCTAAGGCCACCAATGGGTCTTCAACACAGCGAGAAAATCCCGTACCCGTAGGCGGGCTTCAGCTGGCCTCTTAACAAAAATGTGTACTAGTTCAGCGAAAATAGTTTGCTTTTAATCCTTTTTTTTATTTACTGTACTAGCTGTTTTCTTTTAATAGTCAGTTATTATTGCAGAAATATGTAATTGTTTTAATTTTGGTATGTAGAAGTAACTTTTTAAACGACATTGTACAATTGACACATAATTTTGTACTCTACAGAAACAGATATCTATGTAAGAGGAAACCAAGGCTTTGTGTACGACACCCAAAAGCAATATACTATAGACATAGAGTGTGAAGACTTGAGGCGAAGTGATTCGTCATATTTTTACGTATACCTTCTTCGCAATATGTCTCCATCATTCACTAATCTTCAAGGTATTTGTATTATATTTCAGGATATCGATCTCCGCTTCAAGCATACAAAAAAAATGAAATACTACTTGTCAATTCTTTTATCTCCATGACAGGAGGTGATTTACCTATACCTACGAAAATTGATATCCCACAAATAATAATGAATCCATAGTAGTGCGTTCAAAAAAATAATCGCTGAATTAAAACTCATCAAAGATACCAGGCATATAATTGGTGAGCCAGATGCGTGTTTCGTCTACAGAAGACTCGTAAGTGAAGCTGGAATCATCACAGTCGGAAGTTCAAATCGAATACAAAACTGAAGACCATCAAAACTAAAAAAATCGAAAAGTTGTTCAAAATATGGTAGTCTATGCCGCAGGTAGAAAAACCTTAGTGTTTCGTATTATTAAAGATTTCATAGATTAAGATAAATTTACAGAAAATTAACATATCAATAATTGTTTATGCAGCACACTATTGCTTGTAACACATTAGGGTTTGTGATACTCTCGGGGACAAACGTCCATCAGTAGTGCCATCAATCCAGTGGTTGTGAAAACTAATCAGATTTATCAGGCTTATTATTTGGTACGCAAGATGCACGTCTCGTCTTCATAAAACTCAACAGTGTCGCTTAATTCAAAACAGATGGAAGGCCAAATCAAAAACAAATTGAAGAGCATTAGCGTCCGAAAATTTTAAAAAGGCAATCTATGCCATAAAAAAAACTATTATAAAAAGTGTTACAAAAATACCAAATTCCAAGGTAAATTCAAAAAGATGGGAATCCATAAAAACTGATCGAATCAAACGTGAGTATTTTTCAACCAATGGAATGAATGGAAAACAACCGTCATATTCCTTACTTGGTTGAGGCTCTAAGTATCTTAAGTTTCTGTGATTTTTATTTCAAAAAGTGCATTACAAGACTTTCTGAAGATGAAAGGCATATTGAACTGTTTCCCTTTTTAACTGTCATGCCATTCAATAAAGTTTTCTAAATTTGTATATTTCAAATCAGAGCATTTAAGTCAATATAACAAAAATCTTGGTTTCATTCAAATGTATCACTGTTTTATGTTTCCAGCTAAAACCACCGTATCGGCACAAGCAGTAGTGGCCGGTCAGGTTATTTATACTATAACAAGTGTAGATCCTGAGAATGACAATGTACAGTATACAATGACATCCATCAGTGCAACACCACCATTTTCAATCAATCAGAACAGTAAGTTCAATAAATATAAGTTGTAAGCATCATTAAGATAAAAAAAAAGTTATCATTCGTCAGGATAAGTAACAAATTTTTGGGTCAATAAACACCTTTCTATAAGTAATTATTTGAAATGTTTGATGACCAGTGTGAACAATAGAAAATATTTGTTACTTTTATGTTACTACTGAATACATTGAGTCTCTGGTACATCCTCGATCACTCAAATAACCTACAGTAGTAAATGAATATTAGCATCTTAACATCATCTGAAAAGTCTGAAAAATGAACTATTCAGTCATGTTCAGTCTTTCAGTCAATTTCCAGACTTATCCACTACGGTGAATTTAGTTCTGTTCAGACAATTCGCTTGCTGTCAATTCAGTACTGAAGTAGCTTTTCAGAAAATTCAGTATGGTGCTAATATGTACAGGTAAATAACAACTTCTGAAAAGTATGAACATATATAGTCTGAACAGATCTTAATTGACTGCAAGCAAAAAGTTTGAACAGTACTGAATTTTACGCAGTAGAAAATTGACTGAAAGACTGAAGATTACTGATTTATTTATTTATTGTTCAGTCTATTTAGATATGTTCAGATCAAAATGGCCGTTTCAGATCAAAATTGGTTTACTAGTACTATTATATATAAGAAGTCTATTGTACAAATTGACAAAACCTTTAAAAATAATTTCAAAACGATAAAATGAAAGAATGGTCTGCTATATAATTAATTTTCCAGTTAGAAAATAACAGGCATTGCATTTTCAATAGATGGATGGGTTTCACCTATCATTTTGATTGTGTGTATACTGCTGCTGTACAAGTAACATGACAATCTTCTTTGAAAACATCAAACCCGCTTTGCATTAAGCCAAGCCATCACTTGCTTATATTACACTGAAAGCACACCAATTTACACAGAATTTAGGCATGGTTACCCTTATATCTATAGATTATCGATAGTTTTTTCAAACGAGAGAAGGTTTCGCAGCTACAATCTCATCGAAGGGCGACAGCCCTGAGATGAGATGAAACCGAGAAACATCCCCGAGTTTGAAAGACCATTGATAATATGTTTATCGCTGTTTTCCTAGGTAGGTAGTAGGCTCATGACGTCATACATTCTGTCTCTCGACTGAAAAAAAATACGCTGTTGCTAACGGGCCTTAGATACTAGCGATAATTTTATATTTCAAGCGAGTAGCATGGTATGAAAAATTATCACAAAACAGATCAAAGGAAAACTACACAAAATAGCGACAATTTTGATTACCAGTTTTATATTAGATGGCCATTCAGGTATGTGAGTAAAGGAAGAATATTTTATGCGAAAAATCTATTCTGTGTGATCATTTGGCTGATGACTGCGACGTCTTATCTTCAAATATATAGTAGAAAGTTACACGCGCAAGCGTGGGTTTTAAGGATACTAATATTAATTTTGAATCAAGCAGAGAACTACGACAACACTGTTAAAAAAGAATACACCATGTTGATTTTTCTAAACATCAGTTTAAACGAACCGTCACAAAATTTCTCACTCGAATTTCGTTGTAGCTAAGTATAAATTTGAACCAATATCCCCCCCCCCCCCCAAAAAAAAATTCTTATAATTTCAACTTCCATATTGACCCTATATGTTTGCTGCAACACATATAATAGTTCATCAAAGTAGGAGGGGCTTTATACGCTGGAGAGAACTACATATGTAGAAAAAATGAAACAATCATTATTTGTGATTAAAAAAATCTTGTCTTATCTTATTACATTTGCACTTACAAAAATCAAGCAGGTGTTTATAGCTGTTTTGATCATAAAAAGAAATTTCATTTAACACAATTATAGGTATAGGTAAAGGTGTTTAGGAAAGAAGTTTTGTTTTGATAATTGTCAGTTTTTTATTGAATACACGGAATACAAAAGGAACTGTAAGGGTGAAATTTGCAGACTAAATTACGTTGGTATATAATTGACGTCGTGTCTGCATCTAAGTACTTAATATGAATATTCGTGACGTCAAGCATTCTAGAATTTTTTATTTGTTGGGGAAATTTCAAATTCAAAAGGACGAACTACATGTATTTACAAATTAAAGAGTAGAATTTGTTTGGCTTTGAGAGCTTATCGGCTAATCAAAGAACAACCTGAACAATCATACCTTCATCTCTTTCATTATTGGCCACGCGTTTTTCTGAAAATGTTTATTTAGAATACAATATGCATGTCATGCTTAAACAAATTGAATAATAATTAATAATTAAATATTTTCAGCTGGTGCTATTTCATTGAGTCGCTCAATTAAGACTGAGTTAGAAATCGGATATGAATTATATATCAGCGTATCAGATGGTCGGAACACTGTTACTTCACGAACATTATCTGTTCGAATTATAGGTAAATAATGTTATCGTTTATCTATTCTACATATTTCATTCCCTTAATGTATCTTGCCTTAACTTCAGCTCACTTCAAAAAGGAAAATTTCACTGTCGTTATGAGGTTACCGAAGCTTAATTTACAATTTAAATAATAATTAGTAGTAAAGTTGAAAAAATTCGTTGCTACTTATAGAGAACCCTGCTTCCCATGTTTTACCAATAATTAACTTTTTATCTTTTTGCTTTTGAATTTTTTTTAAATATATAAAGAATGTGAGAAGATACTAAAATGATGAAATTCAAAATAGGTATAGCCGACAAACTATTGGCTACACAGTTCTTTGTTGACGATCTATTGTCTTTGTGGTTTTTGTGCTTTGTACTCTTTTAATACAGAGGTTAAAGTACGGGGCATCACAAAATAAACTTAAAAAGAAGAAACCAGGTGCTCCGGGAGAGTGAACACTTCAAGGTCGTTTAGTTGCATCCTTTGTATATTTAAAATGTGTTGATAAGATATATATGAAAGTAAGTCATAAACCATTTATCCACTGGATAAAAAATACAATTATTTAACTAGTGCATTAACTACTAGGTCTTTCATACATACTACTTCGGAATATGTACAAAGGTAGAAAATTGGTCATTTGTTTTACAGCGACATATTTAATAACTCCCTCAGAAACAATTATCCTCAGAAGTTGTTGGCACCTGTTTTAGATCCCTGTTGGTTATTTAGTTTCACATGAATTTATTGACCTTTGACTTCCCAAATTATTTTCTCTTAATGTGACAATAAGCACAGGAAATACTCAAAACTGAGTAAACCATTTCCTTTTTATGTTGATTTACGAATAATTAGACGAGAAAAGGTGTTGCAATTGTACTTTTGTACCTTTTTCAGACATCAACCATCCACCAAAATTCTTAAATTCAATACAAACGGAAGTTGTTTTAGAAGGAATAAGTATCGGATCGTCTATATTTCAACCATCAATTACTGATGAAGATTTGTTAGACGTTCATACGTTTTTAGTTTCGTATTCACCACCAGAAGGTGCTGTCTACTTTGGAGTAGACACGTCAAGTAAGTCGTATATATTTTTTTTCATTTTTATTTCCATTTGATGCAGTGTCAATATAAGAATAAGAAGATGTGGTATGAATGCCAATGAGACAACTCTCCACAAGAGACCAAATAACACCGAAATTAACAACTATAGGTCATCGTAAGGCCTTCAAGAATGAGTTAAACCCATATCGCATAGACAGCTATAAAAGGTCCCGAAATAACAAATGTAAAACAATGCAGACGAGAAAACTAACAGCCTGATTTATGTACAAAATAATGAAAGAAAAACAAATATGATATACAGCAACAAACGACAACCACTGATTTACAGGCTCCTGACTTGGGACAGGCACATACAGAATGTTGCGGGGTTAAACTAAGTACATTTCAATTTGTGTCCATATCCATATTTTTGCTTCACCAAAATTATAAGGATTTTATCCTTATAATTTTGCAGTTGATATAATTTCTGAAAATCATCAAATTAGAATCAAAAGATTGAATTGTCAAATCTTAGCTTATTAATTTTGCGCATTGTATTTCTAAGAAATTAAAAATGTTACAAATGGTCAGGTATATTGTGTACGAAATAAGTCAAATAGTGATACGGCATTAAGGTTGCTGCTCGTGCATGTTCACACTATACTGACTTCAAATACAGGAGTGTGCTCCTTACGCAGAAACTGCTCCAACAGAGTTAGCAAAAAGATAAAAACACTCCGTAAATTTTATGGACACCATCACAAATTGGTGATCTATACGATGTGTCTGTGTCTAAACTAACTAATTACATTTTTACCACGTCTTAGATTGTGGTTTAACATCTATGGTGTCTGTCTGCTAAGTACCGAACGTGACCTATTCCCGAATATGACTGTTATACCGAGTGTGAATTTGCATTGCTATACGACGTGTCACGGTATTTTGTACATCCAACATTCATGTATTCATTTTTGATGTTTCTGTTATGGTTTCGGTTGGATAATGTGTTATGTCTTATCGTTTGTAGTCCAAATAATTATAAAATTGCCTTTCAATACCATCATTGTCATGAAAATTGTTTGGACTGGTATTGTGAAAAAAAATGTATAAAGTTCGAGATTGTATGTTCGTTATGTAAATGCGTCACTGTTTGTGATGTCCTGTGGTGTCTGTCGGTGATGGAAGATGTTCGTTTTTGTTCTGCGGTTTGCAGGTTGTGTCGACTATTATATTATTTGTTTGTGCGTTTCTCTGTGATGAGTGTTCTTGAGTGTGTTTGTGCTGTATTTCTGTCACGTAGTGTTGTCATTTTAGCGATATTTTTTAACAATGTCATATAAGCGGGAGGTTTGGCTAGCCATAAAACCAGGTTCAACCCACCATTTTTTTCTTAAAATGTCCTGTACCAAGTCAGGAATATGGCAGTTGTTATCAAATAGTTCGTTTCTATGTATATTGGCGTTTGTTTTTGTTGCACTTCAGTGTTCCTGTTGTTCGTTTGTTTTCCTCTTATGGTTGATGTGTTTCCCTCGGTTTTGGTTTGTGACCCGGAATTGTTTTCTTTCAATCGATTTATGACTTTTGAACACCGGTATACTACTGTTGCCTTTATTTAGACACCCCTTAAATGAAAGATGTACAATTTAATCGAATACTTTACTGTAATGGAAAATAAAAATTAGAAAAAAGATAAAGTAACTCGACCTCGAAGTATAATAATAACAGTCAATACATAGCCAATAAAATAAAAACGAGGAAAGGACAAAAACAGAATTTTTCAAAATATATGGATAGACATTGGAAAGTTTGTCTTGAGGTCAATAAATTATGCATATCAAAAGGGGGAATGTCTGTCACACAGAGGCAGGGAGTTATCACATGTATTCCAAAAGAAGGCAAGTCAAAACAAAACAAAAAAATGAGCGTCCAATTACACTTTTGAAATCAACATACAAACTAGCTTCTTGTTGTATAGCTGAGAGGATAAAGTCAGTTCTAAACAAAATTATGGACTCTGATCAAACAGGCTTCATCACGGGTAGATTTATTGGCCGGAATTGTAGACTTATTTATGATATTTTACACTTCACAGAAGAAAATGATATCCCTGGTATATTATTACACATTGATTTTGAGAAGGCTTTTGACTCTATATCATTGGCATTTCCCTTTGAAACACTTAAGTATTTTAATTTTGGAGATTCCATTATGAACTGGATAAAAACATTTCACAATGATATTTCATCAACTGTTGTTTGTTAGACTTTTTCCGTGTGGAGAGAGGCTGTAGAAAAAGGGATCCTTTGTTTCCTTACCTTTTCTTGCAGAACTACTTCGCATTTTAGTAAGAAATAGTGATGAGATAAAGGGTATTACAATAGATGATTCATAGTATATCTTATCTCAATATGCAGACGACACATCCCTTATTTTAGATGGATCGCCTTCATCACTGGATGCATCCCTCCGTACATTACAATTCTATGCTGATACATCAGGACTGAAAATTAACTTAGAAAAAACAAACGTTATATGGATAGGTTGTAAAAGACTTAGCCAAGACAAAATATGTGTTAAGTGGGGACTGAAGTGGGGTTCCAGTACCTTCACACTAAATAGAAACTATATTACAAATATGGTCAAAACAGTCACTTACCCCATTTGGTAAGATAACAATTATTGAGTCTCTAATTATATCAAAATTTAATCACCTGTTCCTGTCCATCCCAGGTCCAGATGATAATATGATAAGCCAACTTAATAGTAAAATTTACTCATTCATTTGGGATGATAAGCCTAACAAGATAAAGCGGGATCTTCTATTTCAAGAAGAAATTTTATACAAGGGTTAAAACTTATTGGGTTAGAAGTTTATTTAAATCAAAATCTAAATAGATACAATTGTTTACCCACACAAATATAAATTTACAGAGTTGGCTTATTTTGGAACCATTAAAATTAAAAAAAAACAAATTTTGGAATGAAAATTTTAATGCCTGGAAAAATATGTCAAAACTCAGACGTTCTTGTCATTAGTAGGAAGTCATTTCCGCATCTATATAAAATTGATAATGTCAGCGTTTACTATACAAATTGGGCACACCTTGGGGTATGGACTGTAAATGACCTGTTAGATGAACCTGGAAATATATTAACATATGAAAATGTTGAAAGAATGTATAATTTCAAACTCACGTTCTTACAGTTTTGTGGGCTTAAAAGTAAAAAAGTGGTTACAAGCCATTGGAATCAACGCTGAAAGAGATAAAAAAAAAATCTATTATGCCTTTAAATATTAATATTTTCTTCAAGTCAAAAAAGGGTTCAGAGGACATTTATACTATTTTAAACCAAGGTACTATACCTATAGATTTTGCATCAGAAAAAAAATGGGAAGGTATTCCAAATAAGGTTGTAGAAAATTGAGAACAAATACACTTTTGTGTTACCAAGGTTTCAAAAACATTATGCTATCTTGGTTTCAATATAGAATTATTCATTATATTTTGGGTACAAACGCTCTACTCTTTAAAACGAACATTGTAAACTGTAATGTATGTACATTTTGCAAGGAAGAGCCAGAATCTATAGAACATTTACTTTGGGGTTGTTATATATTAGCCGACATTTGGCACAATCTGAATTCTTGAATTTTTTATATAGAACATATCGAAATTCCACTTAATTTGGATACTGTCAGTTTTGGCCTCTATGCAAATTATAAATTAAATTTTATCAAAAATAAAGTTATTTTACTGACAAAGTACATCATTTACAGATCTAAGATGCAAGATGTAAAATCTCATATAAAATGACTTCAAAATTGCATGAAAGAAAACTTGATTTTAGAAAAAAAACATATTTCTTCAAAAAATTTAAGTGTGGAAGAATACAACTTGTACTGGAACCCCTGGGCTAAGGTCACTGATTAAATTTTAATGGTGTAAATCCATATACATATGTGTGTATATTTTTGTGTATATGTATATTTGAATGTATATGTATACTGTAATACCATATGTACAAAAATGTATGTACATATTTGTTCTTGTACTATTATATTACTACCATTATTATATTAATGAAAATGTTATTATCATACTTAATCCATAGATTTCATACTGATATACCATGATGATAGTATGATTATTATGCTTATTTATTTCACTTGCTTGTTTTTGTAGCACAAGACAAATATATGTTAATACCTGTATATTCATGAAGAAAAAAAAAATTATAAAAAAACAATAATAAAACATTACACAGAAGACTAAGGCCTTAACAACGATAATCCTTAAAAAAAACCGTGATGTTCCGGAATGTTAATCAGTTCCTGCTCCACATTTGGTACTCATCGTGTTGCTCAAGCAAATTAAGTTATAGATAATGCATACTTTAGGGTTTTTCTTGTCGTATAACACATCGAGGGATGTCAGGGTTGATCAAATGAAAGACCAACCTTAAGGAAGTCTTTCTTTGTGCGATCCTGACACCGCGAGGTGTGTTATACGACAAGAAAAACCTTAAAATACGCATTATCTGACTTATATACTGTCAAAAAATATTATTTTCTTCAAAGAAATTGCAAGATTGCAAGATTTGTATCCCATTTATCCGATCAAATTAAAGTGGGATACTCTTTTCTATTGTGATTTGGTGTAACTGCGCCCAAAAGCTCAATTATAAAATATACTACTCATTAATCTATGTATATATAAGCGTAAGTAATCACTGTCAGTTACAATAAAAATGTTACTTTAAATGCATGAAGCAAGAAATAAATGAATTGTTATGATGTATGAAAAATACAAGTCACTTAATTGGTAAGTAACTTTTAATATCATCACTTTATAAAAGGTGTGCTATATTTTTCTTTTGTTTTTACCACAGAAAAGCAAATAATTTTTCAACAATTTTATACGGATTATTCAGAATAATTGTATCTCCCTTGTGTCAGGCAATAAGAAAATGTTCTTAAAAAAATGAGGATCAGGTTAATATTACCACACCCCCTCCCCCTAATTAAATTACCTGGCTGTTAACCTTTAGAAAATGAGAATATTTGAATTGATAGTGTAAAATAATAAGATATATATCATTGTAAAAATTTCCGAAACGGAACAAAGAGCACACACAAAATGGCAATGTACACGTAACAAAAACGGACATGTATAGATCAGAGTCCAATTTCTAATACGGTGTTGATCAACAAGATTGTCTACTTTTTTTTGATAATCCGACACATAAATGTGATGCAATTTGGCTCGTTTTAAAAGTGTTATTAACAGTTTTGCATTATTAAATTTATCTCACATAATGTCCTTTTATTGTAGCGATAAATTAACAAACCTTCAGATTAATTGCTTCGATTTTTACCTATTGTGTCTGTTTGTTTTGTTCACGCATCGTTGTCAATATAATGGAATTTGATGCAACTGTCATACAAGTGAGAGGTTTAGCTAGCTATAAAACCAGGTTCAATCCACCATTTTCTACATAAGAAAATGCCTGTACCAAGTCAGGAATATGACAGTTGTTATCCATTCGTTTGATGTGTTTGTTTTTTGATTTTGCCATTTGATTGGGGACCTTCCTTTTTGAATTTTCCTCGGAGTTCAGTATTTTTGTGATTTTACTTTTTTCTGATTTATTGTTAAACGTCCAGTGACAAACATTTCATATATCAGACCGAACAAATTAACAATAAATATAATAGGTAAGTCCTGTCATGGAGGTCGTACGGGATGAAGGTCAGGGAAATTTGGACAACCACTGCAAAATGATGGTATATTGGATAGGAACAGAAATTTTGCAACAGGCCACCTACGGACCCATCAAAAAGTTGCAGCAAGGGTTCTTAACCAGAGAGCGTGGCACCCAATCTAAACGCATCGGATTTAACCTCCCTATTCCGACTGGACGTGGCTGCGTACTTATCCAACTCGCACAGCTAAACGGATACTCCACTCTGGCCGATCGGAAAAAGACCAAGAGTGACCATATTTCTATTCCCCAGTCACCCTTGGTGGTTAATTGTTTCGAAAATTAAACTATGCCTTAACGACGTTTTTTTGGTTGGTATTTCAGTCTAATTTAAAAAGGAGGAAAGGATAGTTTCTTCCTTAAACCTTTAACGACTGTTAAAGATGGAAAATAGTGCCGCAAAACCGAAATTGGCAACAACACACGATTACTAATAAATGAATTAAACGTTTTAACAATCTGTAGTTTGCATTTTAATCATGAAAAAAATGACCTTATCCAGGACATTATTCTATGCCTTGAAGCACATTTCAATGAAACTTGGTGTCGTTTGGAAGGTCGAGTTGATATTTGAGCTGATTAAGTCAGTATCGTTGTGATGGTTGTTTGGTTGAATAAATGAAGTCGCGCATTTCATTGATAAATTGACACGGATGAAAATGAACACTTGACGTTGCTGTATTGTTGCTTGACGTCATTTAGTACCTGGTCCTATCCATGATATAGAAATTGTCACTAAATTGCCCTATCATGACAAATCGAAGGCTCTTTCTCAAAATATCACTGTCTTTAACAAAATGGATTTCTATAGTTGTGGTTTTTTCTTGGTAAAATGGCTCGTTTGTTAACATTAGGGATTTTTCAAAATAACTCTTATTTTGTTTTAAAATAGGTTTATTACATAATTGAACATAAATGTCGTGATAAAAAGAGCTTATCGTGTGGTTACCATTTATTAAGGACGATTCGTAAGAAGATTGGCATAAAGTTATTATAAATCTGCTCTCAAGCTTCAAGATAAACCATTAACAAAACTTAATTGGCGAGTCGATTATTTTTGTACGTTTTTGAAGAAATGTTTAAATGTAAAATTCCCTCACACCAGTTGAATAATGTCCAATCAATATAGAACATAGTTGCTTGTAAACTTTAACCGATTTTAAATGATATTTCAGGTGGATTAATAACTTCCTTAGTAGAAATTGATTACGAGACTATTCCGGACAAGACGTTTCTACTGACGATTACTGGGTCAGATTCTCTGATGGTAGACACCACAAATATCACTCTTAATATACAGAATGTCAATGAAGCACCAAAATTTACCAAAATTAACTATGCATTCTCAGCGACAGAAAATAGTGTAAGTAGAAAATGTTTATCACATAAATGAACACTTGCACAATGTGGAAACCCCCTTTTGTATCCACCAGAAATGTTTCTAAAATGTTTAAAAACAAATTTCAGGTGGAGGTAACAAAAGGCATCAAAGTTGCATATTTTATAAAGATAAGTAGATAAAATAAGATTATCGATCAGAACTATCCACCAGAGACCAACGAACGTTCATGTGAGCAACTATATGTCACTGTGTGGACTTCAGTATATAACAAAACACATATCGTATAGTAAAATAAATAGACATACTTTATGGTCCACCAGAGACCAACGAACGTTCACGTGAGCAACTATATGTCACCGTATGGACTTCAGTATATAACAAAACACATATCGTATAGTAAAATAAATAGACATACTTTATGGTCCACCAGAGACCAACGAACGTTTATGTGAGCAACTATATGTTACCGTATGGACTTCAGTATATAACAAAACACATATCGTATAGTAAAATAAATAGACATACTTTAACAATCATATAGATAAATGTACATTTATTGTTTCAATCAATACTTAAAGGATTCAAAGAACTGTAATGCATGCTTGGTGGTTTTTGAAATTATTTCTGTGATTCTTTGCCCACAGAGATGGAAACAAAGGAAGGTATATTTGCAAAAGGAATTCTAATAACGAATTGTCATTTTATCACAAATTGTATGAACACGAATTCTTTAAAGAGGGTGCCATAACCGAAAAGTCGACGCAAAATCAATTCTGAATATGTAGAATAATACACGAATAACTTTAAATAGCAGCATTTGTATTTTATGTAATAAATTTTGTTTGTTATTGTACTATGAAAACAAATTTTAAATAGATTTTGTGTAAAAATATGTTTTTCTGTTCAAACATAAGAACGAACTTGCATACTGAATCATTTATTGTAGTAGTAAACTATAAATACATCGTTTGTACATGGAAAAGGCTTCCCTTGTTGTCACAGTAGTTAAAAAAAAACATTAAAATTTGAATGTATTGAAACTTTCAAACAATAACTTTGTATGCTATGAATCCACACACTTCTTTCAACAGTCAATATTTTATACAATCGAAAGCTGAGCGATGCATTTGCCAGTGCAACCATATTAATATGATTAAAATATTAAGTTTAAATTTTCATTTGAATATATATTATGCCTCATATCTTGACTTTCATCTAGAAATTGACAATGAGGGTCGGTTGAAAACAAAACTTTACGACAAAAGAGATGATTTCAGTATATATCTCCCAATTGATACGATATTCCCGGGCTTGTATTTCCTATCATGATTTCCTTGATAGAGGATTGCTGCTCACAAGGAAGCTATTAAACCAAGAGTTCCAAATGGTGAAGTTGAAATCATCCCTTCGTAAATTTTACGGACGCCATCACGAGTTGGTTGACCGTTATGGAATAACTGTTTCACAGATGATATCGGATATGTTCCTTATGTCGTAACTACAATACCCTTCCCTTTTCACGAATGTGACCTACCGAATTAGACTATTTACCGGATTTGTAATAACATAGGCAACACGACGGGTGCCACATGTGGAGCAGGATCTGCTTACCCTTCCGGAGCACCTGAGATCACCCCCAGGTTTTGGTGGGGTTCGTGTTGCTTAGTCTTTAGTTTTCTATGTTGTGTCATCTGTACTATTATTTGTCTGTTTATCTTTTTATTTTTGCCATGGCGTTGTCAGTTTGTTTTCGATCTGTGAGTTTGACTGTCCCTCTGGTATCTTTCGTCCCTCTTTTAAGACTAAATCTATGTTAAGGTTATAACATCAGGGAAAAATGGCCTTACACAGTTTTAGTTATTATGCTTAGAACCTTTATAATAACGAAAAAAATTGTTTCTCAGGCGTACCTAATTATAGTTAAACACGTTATATGTGTACGGCAACATTATCCTTCGTATTTTTGTTCGTTTCTTTGTTTTTCTTCTTTTTTTAAATTTTATTTAGGGGTTGGGTATATGTTTTGTTTATAAAGTTAAATTTCGTTCTTTTGATGTTTTGTTCGAACGATGCAGCAATTTAAGTTAAGTATAAACTCCAAGTATCAAAATTTAAGAAAATAACACCATTGATAACACATTTTGAATGTAAAAGCTGACAGGGTATGTAGTGTACATATAATGTAAACGGGACACAGGATGCGTTATAACAAATATCTATTGTAAAAATAAACATATCAATGATATCAGGCTTACATTTGGAACGTCAGACGCACGTTTCACATGAAATTATTGTCTTTCACTTGATTTTTTTATTAAACAGTAACCTTCATAGTGTTAATATAGAATGCATGGTTAATTTATCGTTCTGTTGCTTTAGGGTGGAACTGTTCTGCAAAATCCATACTACCAGTTCACAGAAGAAGATGGAGACTCTGTCAAGTTTTCAGTTGACTGCGGAACAGAAACGGGTCTATTAGACATCGATTCATCTACGGGATTCCTGTCATATTCCATTGATTATGACTTAGACGTAATTGGTACAACTGCTCAGTTAATATGTAAGGTTCATATTACAGACAACGAGTACATTGATACTGCATATCTAAACATTACAATACTTGATGACAACGACAATGCACCGGTTTTTCAGCAGAATGAATATACCTTCTTTGTGACAAGCATTTCGTCCGTTGGAACTGCAATTGGAAATGTTGAGGCTACTGATAATGACATCGGAGTCTACGGTAAGACCGTACAATATGACATAAATTCATCTTTTGATCAATCAAAAGAAACCTGTACCGCACATCTGGCTTAATGACTGTAGTTTAAACAACTGGGCTTTACATATAGAATACTGCATCTTCAAATATAAATTTTAAATGAGGCGCAATGGTTATGATGCGGTTTAAAATTGGCTTAGATGTTTAACGGTTATATATTAAAGTGAATTTAAGCTTAATGTCACACACATTAAATGACTGTCGTAAGCACTTTACTGTAAAGTGAGAATTATTCCGCGAATACATGTACATTGAGGCTTATTTTGGCTTTTTTCTCGATTAAGATATAATCGCGAAAATAACCCCTTTAATACATTTGACCTGTAAAGACCATTATTATCAGTGACAAGAAAAACTCGAAAATAAAAATTCGCAGAAATGTTTTTTAAGATTCACAACCTAATATTCTCTCCAGTCAATGATTTATAAGGCGTAACTATTTTTTCAATGCTATAGGATTTGTGTGAATGAAATGACGAGGTAAACAATCAAACGATTTATTTTACTAATGAAACATTTCTCCATGTGTGTTAATTATATGATGCAATTCATTAGAGAAAAGGTTCCGGAGGATTTTTTTTACAAATTATTTAGCATGACTGTCATGTTTGATATTCGACAGGATGCTGTAACGTTTCCAACGGAGGGTGTATGATAATAACACTTTTAAAGGCACCTTCAATTCGAAAATCAGAAAGTCTGATATACCTATCTAATAACACCATTCAGATATTCAAAAAAAAATAATTTGTCAGATTTTATGGAACGCCACACTGTCTTACGTGGTACTCTGAAATTACGTTATGTGGTTTTATTATTACTTGATGATATTTTGTCTTTACATAATATGGTTTTGACATTACTTAATGATGTTTTAATATTACTTAATGATCTTTTGATATTACTCAATATGGTATAGTCATTACTTAATGATATTTTGATATAGAATGATATGGTTTCGTAATGACTTGATATGGTTTTGGCATTACTTGATATGGTTTTGTAATTACTTAATATCATTTCAACATTATTTAATGTGTTTGTGTCATTACTTAAAATGATTTCAACATTATTTAATGAGGTTGTGTCATTAGGTATGTGGTTTTAACATTACTTGATGTGTATGTGGGTTAGGTAATGTAGTTGTTTCATTACATGATGTTGTTTTGTTTTTTCGTAATAATGATTTGTCAATTCTTTATATGGTTTAAACTTTACATAATGATGTTTCAAAATTTGACGATTTTACACTACATGATGTGGTTCTGTCATTCTTTAATGTGATTATCACATTACGTGATGAGGTAAAACCACGTGACCACTTTGGAAAAAAATTAGTTCTATTTTTACATCGATTTCTATGTCGTTCGTTTTATGTGCCTCTGATGAGGTAGCAATCATCGAATTATAGTTCATATAGTTCAAATTAAAATTCGAGTTACTGTTCAGAGATATTTCATATGAAAAAGGGACTGAGGGGCATGCGTACATCTTGGGGGACCGGCAGACAAAAATGAGAAAAAAAGTACTAAAAATAACGATATTTCCGACATAAGGGGGTGTCCCCTCACCACTTGGTCGCGTTTTTTTCCAAAGCTCTCAAATTGAAGTAGTATAATAGTAAAATATTTGCCAAGGGATCCGCGTAACCGTGTGTCTCGCCTGGGATTGCTGCTATCAGGGTAAAAATACAATGTTGATTGTAAAAAGTCCATTTATCAGTAAAAAAAAATAACCTATAAAAAACCAATTTATTCATATGAGGCTGACTTCATACAGGAACTTCTGAGGAAGAAAGAAAAGAAGTTAGCAGTATCCTTTAACTTTACTTTCCGCTATATAGATGATGTTCTCTCACCAAATAATTTAAAATTTGGTGACTATAAAGAACGCATCTATCCCATCGAACTTGAGATAAAGGATACAGCAGATACAGTTAAGTCTGCCTCATATCTTGACTTACATCTAGAAATTGACAATGAGGGTCGGTTGAAAACAAAACTTCACGACAAAAGAGATGATTTCAGCTTCCCAATTGTTAACTTTCCATTTCTATGTAGCAACATTCCAGCAGCGCCTGCATACGGAGTATATATCTCCCCGTTGATACGATATTCCAGGGCTTGTATTTCCTATCATGATTACCTTGATAGAGGATTGCTGCTCACAAGGAAGCTATTAAACCAAGAGTTCCAAGTGGTGAAGTTGAAATCATCCCTTCGTAAGTTTTACGGACGCCATCACGAGTTGGTTGACCGTTATGGAATATACGTTTCACAGATGATAGCGGATATGTTCCTAATGTCGTAACTACAATCCCGTCCCCTTTTCCCGAATGTGACCTATCGAATTAGACTTATTACCGGGTTTGTACTAACATGAGCAACACGACGGGTCCCACATGTGGAGCAGGATCTGCTTACCCTTCTGGAGCACCTGAGATCACCCCCGTTTTTTTTCTATGTTGTGTTTTGTGTACTATTGTTTGTCTGTTGGTCTTTTTCTTTTTCAGCCATGGCGTTGTCAGTTTATTTTCTACTTATGAGTTTGAATGTCCCTCTGGTATCTTTTGCCTCTATTTTTCCTAAGATGCTTATTCTTGATCTTGAAGATTAGCTTCTGTCCAACATGTCAAAGTTTTATAACAATACATGAAGGTTTACAAATTTATCATGTAGAAAAGTTCGATTTGGTAAATGTTTACTGCAAGATAATTAATATAAAAATAAGAAGTTGTGGTATGATTGCAAATGAGACTACTCTCCAACAGATACCAAATGACTTAGAAGTTAACAACAAATTATAGGTCACCGTACGGCCTTCAATAATGAGCAAAACCCATACCGCATAGCAAGATATAAAAGGTCCCGAAATGACTAAAGTAAAACAGTTCAAATGAAAAACCTAACTGCCTGATTTATGTACAGCAACAAACGACAATCACTGAATAACAAGCTCCTGACTTGGGACTAAGTCCATCTATCAGAAAGATATAAAAATGAAAAAAAAAATATATTTCCAAATTTTGCTTAAGACATTATCCCTTTTTCATGAAAAAGCTTCTGTCAAAGTTTCATAAAAAGTTGGACAAAGTAATTGATGTGTAAAAAAGTTTAACCACGGATTGTATCTACTTGTTGACTGCAAAAACCTAAGTCCTTTTGTCAGTTAAGTACGATAAATGAAAATAAATATTTTCAAAATTTTGCTCTGGATACTGTCTTTTGCTCATAAATAAAACTTCTGTCCAAATTTCATAAAAAATTCCATAAAGATTTGAGAAAATTATTGATGTCTGAAAAACACTTTAAACACAGACTGAACCCAAAGGTTGACGACGTCGACGCAACCACCGACGGCGGAATAAAGGATCGCTGTGTCTTTACTTCCGCGACATAAACGTCGAAGGCTTGACATAAAACAAATGACTTGTACTTTATTGTCAACAGATGAGACACTCTTAATCAACTCGCTCAAAAGTAAGCATATATGATCATTTGAACATTTACGGATATCAACCTTTTAGTTTGATAAATTGCGTTCTCTGATATTTTACAACTCGCACTATATTAAAAAAGCAACTATTTGGAATATCTGTTTCACAGATGACGACGGATATTGCCTCTTTTCCTCGAATGTGACGTACCGAATTAAACTCATCACCGGGTTTGTACTTACATGAACAACACGACGGGTGCCAAACGTGGAGCAGGATCTCATGTTGTGTTGTTACACCACTGTCCCAGGTTAGAGGAGAGTTGAGCGCCAACAAACATGTTTAATCCCGCCACATTCTTTATGTGCCTTTTCCTAGTCAGGAGCCTGTTCGTTTGAATAGTTCCACATTTTTCGTGTCGGGGCCTTTTATAGCCGACTATACGGTATGTCGAAAGCCGCACGGTTGCCTATAACTGCTTACACGCACTTCATTTGAACTCTGGTGGATAGTTGTCTCATTGGCAATCATACCACATCTCCTAATTTCTTTTTAGATTTTTGTTGTGTTTTGTATTTTATAACATTGTTTGTCTTTTGTTTGTTTTTCATTTTTTACCATGGTATTGTCAGTTCGTTTTCGACTGATGAGTTTGAATACCACTTTGGTATCTTTCGCCTCTCTTTAGTAACACTGGAAGAAATTTATCTTAACTATTTGTTTGCAAATAATTTTGAAAAAATAGCAGATGGAACCATTTGGCGCTGGACATTCGCTTTACGTTCGAAAATTTGTTTGTTGGTGTATTTTTTCTCATTTTTGACTGCCGATCCCCCATAATAAAATTGAGAATGGAAATGGGGAATATGTCAAAGAGACAACAACCCGACCAAAGAGTAGACAACAGCCGAAGGCCACCAATGGGTCTTCAACGCAGCGAGAAAATCACGCACCCGGAGGTGGTCCTCATCTGGCCCCTAAATGTATGCCCCTCATCACCCTTTTCGAAACCCGACCGAAAACACTCGATCCGCGATAGAAAATTTAAATACGAACTCATATCAAATAACTCAAAATTCAACTCGAACTCCTTATCTAAATGAGACCCAAATTCGAAGTTTGACTCGAACTCTACCTCAAGAGGTGACTCAAATTCAAAGTTTAAGTTGAATTGTAACTCGAACTCCAACTTTAAATGTGACTCAATCTCGAAGTTCAATTCAAAACTCAATTCTAACTTGAACGTCAATTCTAATTATGGCTTGAATTCTTACTCGAACTCAAAGTTTCACTCGACATTTAACTCGATGGAGAGCCACACTCATCCAAGGCACATACAGCAAACGACATGGAAATCGATTTAAAAATAGAAGTAATTTCTCCCAAATGGTCACGTGTTTTTACCTCATCACGTAATGTGATAACCACATCAAAGAATGACGGAACCACATCAAATACTGGAACAAACACATTCCAGAAATTCATTATATTTTGTAAAATATGAAAATACTTCAAATATTTGAAGACATCGGATATTTATCAAAACAATTGAAAAGGTCCTTCGTGTCAGGTGAGCTTTTTTATACTGAAATAACATCCTTTTCGTAATAATTTTGTTTTGTGATCTTCATAGAAGAATAACATTAACGGTACAATTTTTTCTGCAACATGCAGATGAACATTTTGACAGTAAATGTCTCTTTAGTGATACTCTCGATAGTTGAAAACCCAAAACGTATCAAAAAATGTTTATTCGAACTAGCTACTTTAAAAGAATTAAAGAGATGATTTATAAAAAATGCTTTGACCTTCAATCTTCGTATTTTAGAATTACAGTGCTGAAGAAATATATCTGTTTTCTGTCCATCGGTACTGATATGAAATATGCATGAAAAAACATATAGACAAATTAATTTATAAATAAATATGATATTTAATTTTGTAGGAAATATAATTTATCATCTTGCACAGGAAGATATCAACAATGGTTTATTCAGCGTTTCTGTCGATGGTTTCATTAGTAGTAAGCAATCACTTGAAAATATTATACCTGGAACCATTTTAAACCTAACTGTGCATGCAGTGGATAGTGGGGGTAATGAAAACACTACCTTGGTTTATATTGTGATACCTGATACAGATGTCACAACAAATATCTATCGAAATAAAATATATTACAAGACTTTCTTCAGCTTCTCTCCTAACATGGCATGGTTTGTTCCATTGATGATGGTTCTGCTGATAACCGCTTGCGTGGTATTACACACTATATATAAGGGATATTGTGCATGTTCTAAGACAGAAAAGTAAGTTCCAAGTGTGAAGGGTCATATATATGAACATAAACCAAGTCAGTAAAGTAAGTTTGTTTTTGTTCTTGAATAAAACCTGAAGTCCATAGCAAGTCATTGTAATGGACTTCTAATGAAACAAATGAAACCTTTCAAAATTATGACACACAGGAAAAAGGTAATGAAAAAAAAACATAATTGAGTCACTATACGATTAAACTAAGATTAAACGTCAAAACCTCCCTCAAAACCCGTCAATTGATTGTTTTCACTGTACATTGACCGATTCAAGAAAGATTGTGTATAAAGTAAGCACAAAAAGTAGAATGAATTGTGCATTGGAAAATGAGTCTCTAGAAGTATATTCTTCCCTGTTCATACATTTACTGTGATAAATTTAGGGATTTTCGGTTTTTAATGCTCTTCAAATTCGTATTTGGTTTGGCCTTCAAACTGTTTTTAATCGAGCACCTCTGCTGAGTCTTGTGTGAAATGCGCGTCTGGCGTACCAATTTACAAGCCTGGTATATATCTATAATAAATGAGCATTTCAGTTTAGAATTAATTTACAAAGGAACGATTCCGCAACACCTCACACTTACGAAATAATGTCTTTGGATAGAAGAAAACATTGGAAATTTTACAATCACTAAATTGTTACACAGGATAGCACCTGAATGTATACTTGTGTTAACTCTTTCCAGATTGATAAAAAGACATGAAAAGTTATCAGGTTAAAGGATACATCATAAACTGAAGCTGTTTTCTCACACGTCTAGCTTTTAAGTGCATACAAAAATTTGATAGATAGTTTTTAAGAAATAAGTTATATTTATGTTTTACAGGAAACAGAAAAAGATACAACCAAAATATCGAAAGAGGAAAACAGTTATCGAAATGTGAACAAATTATTAAATGTACTTCAGTCAATATGTATAATTGTTTAAAAACTAGATTTTCGAGAGAGAGAAAAATAACAATGGGATATTTAAATGATTTAGATGATTTTTTAGAGAAAAAATTACAATGGATGTGATTAATTACGAGTTGCACTAAATGTTGTCATTAATGTTTCAAAATCATTACCGCAATTAATTAATAAATGCAGGCTATTTACAATGAATTTCAACACATAATATTAAAAACAACTAACTTTATATTTTCGAAAGACCAAGCCATTCATTAAAAATCTATTTGAGCAGAAGGAAACTTTCTGTGTACCATCGATTCAGACCTCCAAGAAACTGACTCATTTTAAAAAAACAGAATAATTTTTATTTTAGAAAAATCCCTTGAAATCACGAACCAAATCAAAGGAATAGTTTCCTAACTTTAGAAATTATTCCATATACATGTATATGAACGTTGTTTAATAGACTGACTTAAAGTCCTCAGTGTAAAGATGTAATTATAATACCAGTAATCAATGTTATAGTACGGCACTGCTTTTTGGTGTGTAAATACATGACAATTTCAATAGAATGCGACGTATCACTGGATTTTTACTTGACATGGGCAACACGGTGGGTACTACTAGTGAAGCATGAACTACTTATGAATTACTCAAAAGGAGCGCATGAGTTTATCGCCGCTTATTGGTAAGGTTATTGTTGCTCAATCTTAAGTTCTCTGTGCAGTGTTTTGTAGAATGTTTTTTGACTGTTCGTCTTGTTTCGTTTTGCTATATTGTGTATTATTGACTATTGTATTCTTAATGACCCCCTCTGTCGGTTTTAATTTTTACCATTATTTGATCTTATACAATGCTTAAACTGAATTTGTATGGATTTTTAAATAAAATAAACCTTTTAATCTTGTTAGAATAATAAATAAACGATAGTTATCCCCCTCCTAAAAAATATCCGACGTAAACATTTAACAGCAGTAAAATCACAATCTTCATCATTAAGTCTGCTGAGCCCAAAATAAAAGTTTTGAAAAGCAGTTTATTTTATATATCATTTTATCATAAAAACTGTTGTTAAATACCACTTTCTGTTCTTTTCTTGAAAGTTAAATCTTACCTCAGCAACAAATCCCTTTATTATTTACAACGCTTGGTAAAAGTTTTGAACAATCTATGATATCTGTACCTCTGTTGTAAGATTGTTCAGTAATGGAAAAAAAAAAGAATAAGAAAAATACCGAACTCTAAGGTAAATTCAAATGGGAAAAAAAACGGGTTCATCGTTTTCATCTTGCTTGCCCATGAAATAGTTGCCAATTCAAATTAAGCTAGGCAAATATCAATCAAACAGTGTATTATATTATTGATATTATGTGAGAAAATGACCGAAAACATTTTATTTATGTATTTATTTATTTATTATTTGTATTCGTTATTTATTGTAAAGTATGAAATATTCCACCAAATAAATCTATGAATTGAAGTCATGTCTATTTTATTCTCGTAAGACAAGAACATAGCATTATATTTAAATGTCATAAAACAATTTATCATACACTTAGAGTAAATAACTTATAATTTTAACAGTATGATTATAGCATTAAATTGACGTGAATTCGATATTTTCCGAAATGGTGCTTAGCGGGCTGATTTAAAAATTTACCAACTGCTTCCGTCTATTATCGCATGCCTTTCCGAAACGTTATTATATACTTATTAGTAAATACAGATAAACTGTATGTGTAATACAATCATTGGCAAGCATGCTGTATCAGCCACCCGTGATGATATCGATATCAGCACGGTTGCAAAGGCTTTATCACACCTTTGATCTGTATGACGTCACGTCATCGATGGCAAAGGCTTTATCAAACCCCTTACCTGTATGACGTCATGTCAAACCTATAATCTGTATGACGTCATTTCAAACCTTCTTATCTGTATGACGTCATGTCACATAAAAAACATCTACGTGAGGTATATGTATATAATAAAGTGTATATGATATGGCTTTTTCAATATCACACACCGTATCAACTCTCAACCAATATAATCCCTCGAGCAGAGCTCTTGGGAATATATTGGTGTCTCGGGTTGATACGGATGTGATATTGAAAAAGCCATATGATATTCTCTATTTATCGCATGGCATTCTGGCGTTACTTGGCCAATTCCGGAAAATACACCTCAATGGTACGTCTTCAGTGAAAAACATAACAAAGTAGGGTACAAAACAAATATTAGAAAACAGGAAAATATATAATGTAAAATGCAAAACAATTGATACAATAAACATGATAAATGTATTTTTCAAAGTTTCCAGCATAATTTAGCAGGTTGATTTTCAAATGTTGACTTTTCAAAACAGTGTTCATTATGTTTTGTTGATTTTTTTTCATCGTGAATATAAAAATTTATTATACTGTCGTTTTCTCCTCTGTTGAGGCATATGAGAGAAAGATTTCATAAAATGATGTATTATATTTGGCGTCCGTCGTCCGTAAACTTTTCACTTTTTGAACTTCTACTTCAGAACCACTTAAAAGGATCAATATATTAAACTGTTATTTTTCTCCATTGTTGAAGCATATGCTAAAAAGATTATGACATGTCATTTTTCATATCAGAAGTGTTATCAGCTCTTGGTCAATATCAGGCCTTCTGCTCTTGGGCTGATATTGAACCTTGGGCTGTTAATACATCTGATATGAAAAATGCCATGCAATAATCTGAAAATATTATTCAAGCACTACCATTATTATTTGGCTAACTAAAGCATTTTCGACAAGATTTTTTTTTTCTTATTTTTTTTTTTTTTTTTGCTAATTTGTGTTGTCAGGCAATTTTTGTTGTCAGGCAATTTTTGGAAAGAATGCTATGGATAGAAGGTACAGGTTTTTATGTTAATTTATAAAAAATTAAAAATTGGCCTTAATATACGGAATTAGCAATTTTTTGCATGCTCTTTTGCCGTTGGTTGTCAACTATTTCCATTCCAAAAATTCGAGCGTTCCAAGCTTGTTCTCGGCTGACTACTACACTTTGTTTAACACAAGCGTTCACATCCCTATTATGCTTCAGTCTTTTACAAATTTCGCCATAGACATCAAATTCAATTTATTACAAAAAAATATATTAAGAAGACGACTTTTTGTCATTGAAAAAAGTTGAAATAAGAATCAATTTGCCACTTGATGTGTATTTTTTTAAATGATTAAGACATTCTTTGGTGAAAATATGTGGGCAAATTTGCGGTATATCTATATTGAGCAATTAATGGACTTGTAGGCGTTTCATTATACTTGTACAAAATGTATAAGTCTATTTTTTATTCTATAACAAACATTACTCAAAGTGAAATTAAACAAGAAAACTATCAAACCAGAAGTGAAGCATTCCTATGAAATTTGTGTAAGCGAATTTCTACGTCGAAAAAATGTCGAATGAATTGTTTTTCTTCTTTGTTTCGGATAACTTCTCTTCCTTGATTTCCCCACACAAAATCTACGTGGTGGCATTAAGTCGAGAGATACGATGAAACTAGTTACAAATATTAAAAACGTTACTCCGAAGTAACCGATGATAGCCGAAGAGCTGCGAGGATCGGACGCACTTATTTTCTTTCGCAGCTCCGAAGACAATTCGCTTTTAGTAACCTTTAGTTCTTCTATAAAATCTAAGTTCACAGTTAAAGTAGCTAATGGTGTAGTCGTCAAGACTAATGAATCCGTTGTATTGCCGCTATAACTAAACTTGCATTCACATGACAGAAGAGAACCGGATTTGGTTGATATCACATCGTTTGTAGTATAAGATTCGGTAGTTACTGTTGTTTCCACATTAGACGTTTGAGCTGAAATATATAACAAAATCATATCATGAAAGTTAGTTGAATGATAAATTTTATTTCATGAAAAAGAAACAATCACTATTTCAAGTGATTGGTTCATGAGGAAAAGGGACTTTCCTTTTGAATAAATGATAATTATTCGGGATAGCTTCATACAGTTTGTCCCTATAACAAAGGTGGAGGTTTTTATTATGAAAAAATTACATTATTTACATTTCGCCTTTAATGGTATCGTTAGTATTCACTTGGCATCTTTTGTATGCTTGCTACTGATGATGTACAAAACATTGATTTAAAAGCAAAGTGGCCACAAATATAATTACTTTACTTCCTTAAAAGAAAGACAATTAACTAATTTTGACCATGTAAGCTTCACAGTAAGTACCTATATTATTTAATAGATTATGTACTATCATGAGTTTTTAAAAAAGAAACATTAAGAAACCACCACGAAACGAGACAGATATTCTTTAAACATGACAAAATCATATTAAAATGCTGCACAATTACATTATTACCCCCTACTATTGCATTCATTTTGTCCGTCCGTTCGTACAAAAATTATTACCATTACTTCATCTGATAGTATTGAGTTGTATCAACAGTTTCAATTATCATTTATCTATGGCCTATTAAATAATACAGGTTAACATGACTCTCTCTCTCTCTCTCTCTCTCTCTCTCTCTCTCTCTCTCTCTCTCTCTCGTATATCACAGGTACATATTCACTAATAGACGTAATGTCAAGTGTTAACCAAATGAAAATTTGATAAAAAAAAAACCATGCTACAGGCTGTGGGAGGGGAGATAACCAAAGTTTTTTCTAAGGTTTTAAATGGAACTTGTTCAAATTGAATTCTTCTTTTCTTCATGATCAATGTGCCATTAACATATTTGTATTGTAAGATGTTGATTACAGTAAAACGTCCTAAGGATTATTATTTTAGCAATATCTAGTTACAGTTTGTAGATTGATGCCATTTGACAGCAATATCTTACACTGAACCCCCTTAGGCCAAGTGAACATAAAATTATAGTGCTGCTATATCTACGATAGTTATTTTTATTTCTGTCATGCTGTCTTGATTGGCCAACTTTTTAACTGAAAGGCCTAATTTGTCTGTCGATCGTGAGAGAGAGAGAGAGAGAGCTTCATGTACCACGTCTTGTAAATCATCAAATTATTTACACACTTTAAAAAAGATCTGATACAGAAGTACATGTTTTCTTATAACCGTTTAAAACACATATGGTATGGATTTTAAACCTTTCATCAGGTACAATAAGTTATAAAACGTTCGCGAAAGTTAAAATTAAAAGAGCCTATACATAACAACCTGCATTGTCTACGTAAATGGTTAATTGTGTAAAAAAAATATTACGGTTATTTATATTGTGGAAAATGTTGTAATTATTATACATCTTTAATAAGTTTTTAGTAATATCTGATCGACATTATTATTCGTTTTCATATTTACAGCTAAGCCAACCACACATTGCAAAACACTATTTTGTAAAGTTACGATTTAAGATTCTAGACCATCATTACCACAAACGTAAAATTAATATTATTTTATATTGAATTATATAGGAATAATGGAATACACTATGAAAATGGAAGCTGCTAATTTTATTTTGTATCCGACCTTATTTTGTTGATACAAAAAAAAAAGAGATGTGGGGTATCCTTCAACAAGACATCGGTATACTGTTAAAAGTAATTGCATGTGAAATTAAGCAGTATCCATCATGTTTCTACTTGGAATAAATCAATATTTCACTAAATGAAGGCTTATTGAAGTTTGTGCAAATGGAAAGATATCCTGATTCAGGATGGTCTAGATAACTTATGAACTTAAATTAAAATATGAAATTATTAAATCGTGTTATTGCGTGACAGAAGGTAGCTAAAGACATGTTAAGATCGCTAGTATCATATTAATCATGGAAAACAGTAGGGATATGGCCCACAAATAACACCCAGGTCAAGGTGGAAATAAAAGAGAAAATCAGATCTAGGAAACACAATTGCATTTGTCAACAAAAAATTTTAAAATAGAACCCAAAACAATTCACACTAGCCTGAGCAGGCTTTTCATAATTTTTTATGTTTCATACCAGAATCATTTCAACAACAACTATAGGGCATCTAAATGAATAATTAGTTGAGATTATAGGACCAACTGTTTTAAAGGGGGTAATATACAAACGAGTCAAATCAGCAACAGTCTAAAGTGTGCATACGTCGAAGTTTCCACACAAAATAATGGAAACGAAACAGCTGTTTGCGTCATATAAGAACTTCATATTAATGTTATTCAAATGCTCTAATTCGACAGAGGTATGAGCCTTGATATTCATTTTTGAAAATGCATGTAGCTAATTGATTCCTTTTGCAGGTTGGTTTTTAGGTAACTGTTTGTATTATTGGTTATTTCATTGCACTTTTGGTAGAAACAAATTGATAAGCTTTCAATTATAAATGTCAACGAATTTCCGACCCGAATATATTAATTTTGTTTGGTATTTATGAAAGGAATATATAAACTTGGTTTTTATTTAATTATCTTAGTGCCATTTGAGGTATTTCATATCAAAAATTCACAAACGAAAATAAATGGATTTTCTTACCT